TGAAATATTTAAATCCATACATAAATTCCACCTAATCCCTCTAATACTCCCTAAATCCATGCACAAAATTAATCCGCTAAAATCAAGCAAATTTATATCTACAAAAATCGTCTAAAAATAACTACCCCCTCGAGTAATTATCTTTAAAATACTTTATATATTTTTATTTAGGTTATTCAAAAATAACCTCACTATTTACGCAAATTATCTTACCGTTTATAGCAACAAAATGTTGCTCTTTAACTGCAAGAAACAGTCTTGAGTCATTCCAACGGTTTACAAATGATATAATAAAAAATTCTGAAATTCTTCTGAAATTCCAATTATAATCGCTGATACAGCAATTAATTTTATAAAATCGAGCAGTGCGATTCAAATGCTCGAAGGCCCGCGGTTCGGTCAAGGAAAGACTCGATCCGCCGTTGAAAAGCGAAACCGGCGATCACGGCGATCCACGTTGCACGGTATTTTCATTCGAAAAACGGCCCCTTTGACGGCGAGCTCCTTTCAAGCAGCGTTAAAAGCCGCATGCACTATTGCTCATCGAACGGCGAGCAGGACGCGCGCGGCGTGTTCGCATCGGACGCGGTAAATACGCGTCGTTTACAACGACTTAACGCACCGTGATCGGTTCTTTGGATTAACGGCGCGGGGCGGAGTGGAGGAGCGGGGAGGGGGCTCTATTTCTGTACTCGGTGCGCGTCAGTTTCGCAGCTTTTTCGCGCGCGCGGCGTCGCGCCGCGTCTTCGCCGTCGGTGCGCGGCCGACGGGTGTCGTCGTCGCTGCGAGGTCAGTGGAACGCCGACGATATAAATCGAGCGCTCGTTAAAACGTGACTTACGGCACTTTCACGAGCGATCGAAGTTACCGGCGCGCTGCGAGGAGCAGCGCGTTCGCCGTTACCCCCTCTCCGACGATTCGACGACCGGTCCTCGCGCGCGAGGGTTGCGAGCGGGCTCCTGGCATCGAGCGCGCTTCCTATTCACCTGTTTTGCTAGCTTGAACCTTTTTAACCCTAGATTTACGGAGCAGAAAGAACAGCTGTTTTATGCTGGTTTATAAGAGTATAGCAATGAGACATTTATTCCGATTTTTTAGCTAATATTATTGTAACATTTGCCGTAAGTATAAGTATAAATTGAATAAAAAAAATTGAACTAAATTGAACTAAATTGAATTAAATTGAACTAAATTAAATATACTAAATTAGACTGAATCGAAGAGACTCGTAAATGTATCTTTACGATATGAATAATTGTAAATCAAAAAACCACGCCGTAAGTAATATATAAATTGAAAGAGAAAGCTCGTACTGAATTGAACTAAATTAAATATACTAAATTAGACTGAATTTAAGAAACTCATAAATGTATCTTTACGATATGAATAATCGTTTACCTAACGAACGGCCTTAGGGTAGGTGCCGATAAATTGGTAATTATAGCTATAATTATTGTTATTTAACTCGAATATTTATTTTCCGCGAAATATCGGATCTCAGAAAGCACGGATTAAATTAAAAAGCGTGATGAAAACAAAACCGCACGTGTGCACATATTACTGCGTGCCAAATACTGCGGCGTTCCAAAATTACTGCGTGTCAAGGTAACACGACCCATGTTCT